ATGGTAATGGCACCAACTAACATTATTTATGTTTGTTCAGGAAAAATGCACTGATCATTTACTGGAATTTTTTACTTTTTATACAGATGTGCTGATAATGAGTGGTGAAAGCTTTCAAGGAGGCCCCATATGAACCCAGTAGTGTTTGAATACCCTCTCAGATTGTACCTATAAAACAACATTTACGGTCAATCAGTGGGGAAAATAGATCATTTATTTGACGTATAAGTATGGAAAACTGATGTCCCCATTGATTATTTCCATTTTTGGTTATTTTACGTATGAGGGCACAACCCTTAGATTAATGAAAAGAGTTTTGAAGTGGAAGACTAGAAGTCTCTGTTTTTAACTATGTAAGATTTTCTTTTAACATAAAGACAACAAGAGTCATAGAGAAAGTGTATATTTTCATGAGCTCTGGACTCTTGAACTAGGTTTGCCAAAAAGTATTTGAGTCATGTGGACAAGTCAACTAAGAGAATCTAAAGTAATTTTGCAACTGTATAGTAAGGGAATAGTTCTGGATCAGTAGTTACTGAAATATTGAAGTCAGCTAAGGAGTTTTTAAAAACGCAGTCATCTGGGTTCTTCCCCCAGAAATACTGATTTCATTTGTTTAGGTGTGGCAATGGCTTTCAAATTTTAGTTGGATTCAGAATCACCTGGCCAACTTGGTAAAAGTACAAAGTCCCAAACTCTATCTGCTTTAAGGAGCTTGGGCTTTTGTGTTCTTAACTTGTTCTCTTGGTGATTCGGATAACATCACAGTTTGAAATCACTGGTCTGGGGTTTAACATCAGAAGTTTTTAATGGTCTCCAAGGTGATACTTCTTAGGTTCAACTGTGCTTAGAAACCACTGAGTAAAATCAAAATTAGGATTCTTCCAGCTCTATCAGGAATGATCCAAATTGGTAGCTTTTATTAGGTACTTACTGTGCATAAGGCATTGTGCTAAGTATTATTAAGTCATCACAAGACCCTGTGAGGTGGATAATAATACTACTTTGCATATAAGAGACATGGCGGGTAAGTAATTTAGAGCTAAGTTCACATGACTAAGAAGTGGGGGATTTGAACCTAAGCTGTCTTACCTCAAAGATCACACAATAAACTACTATTGTAAGTAATCTCCTGGAATTATAGTAGAAGTTGAAAACTCTCACACTGGGGACATGGGTACTTACATGATTTTCTTATGATTTTTTTATTGAAGTATAAATTCACATACAATATCCTTTTAGTTTCAAGTATACTTCATAGTGATTTGATATTCTTGTATGTTGTAAAATGATTCCCACCTTGAGTCTAGATACCATCTACCACCATACACAATTATTGCAGTATAGTTCACTATATTCCCTATGCTGTATATAACATCCCCATGAATTATTTTTTTTATAATTGGTAATTTGTACCTCTTAATCCCCTCCAACTATTTTCACCCATCCCCCCCAATCCTTCCCCACTCTTGTAACCAACAATTTGTTTCCTATATGTGTGTGTTTCTGGTTTTTTGTTTTGATTCACATATAAGAAATCATATGATATTTGTCTTTCTCTGATTTATTTCACTTAGCATAATGCCCTCAAGGTCCACCCATGTTTTTGCAAATGTCAGGATTTCCTTCTTTCTTGACTGAGTAATAGTTCACTGTGTATGTGTGCGTGTGTGTGTGTGTACATATACATATACATATACATTGTGTGTACGTACACCTATTGGTAGAAAATTGTGTTGTTTCCATATCCTGACTTTTGTAACTAATGCTGTGATTAACATAAGAGTGCATGTATTTATTGGGATTGGTGTTTTCATTTTCATTGAAATATTCAGAAGTGTAATTGATAGACCACATGGTAGTTCTATTTTGAAAATTTTTTTGAGTAATCTCTATACTGTTTTCCATGATTGCTGCACCAATATACATTCCCACCAACAGTATAGGAGGTTTCTTTTTCTCCAAAGCCTCACCAGCACTTTCTATTTCTTGGCTTTTTGATAATAACCAATTTGTGTGAGGTGATATCTCATTGTGGTTTTGATTTGCATTTTGTTGATGATTAGTGATGTTGAACACTTTTTCATGTGCCTACAGGCCATCTGTATGTCTTCTTTGGAAAAATGTCTATTCAAGTTCTCTGCCCATTTTAAAATTGGGTTGTATGTTATTTTGACATTAAATTATGTAAGTTCTTTGTATATTTTGGATATTAATCCCTTATCAGATGTATGATTTATAAATATCTTCTTTCATTCAATGGATTGCCTCATCATGTTGTTGATGGTTTCTTTTATTTTGCAAAAGCTTTTTAGTTTGATAAATGATTTTATCTTTATCTTTAAAAATATACCTGACTTGTAATTATATAGTAAAAATGAAAGAATCATTTACAAAAAATAAATGAAGACTATAAGAAAAAGAAATTGTTCATTAATTAAAAAAAGGAGGAAACTGGCAGTGAGAAGCAGGGTAGGTTTGGATAATTCTATTTATTCTGGAAAGAAGAAGATCACAAACTACTTGTTTATACTGTTAGTGTTTGAAAAGTGAGATTATAAGTTTCAGATAGATATTCTGCCATGACTCAACCAAGGAGAAAGGTGGCAAGAATTTCAGAGGAAAAAAGAAATTTGTATACTTCTTTGGAATAGTTCCAGGTACTAATAATGCGATGAATTTGAAAAATGATTTATACTGTAAGCACTTCCTTTTCTCTCCTTTCTTGTTTGGAAAGATACCAGCTCAGTGCCTTCCTAGGCATAGAAAATACTTTGGCCACTGCCATTAGTCACACTTGTGTCTGTAAAGGGGAGAAAGAATGCCTTAGTCAAGTATGTTTTCAGTGCTACATAGAGGGAAGTGATACTTAGGGGAATGCCTTGTTCCTCTCAAGACCTAGCCTTTCTCAGGCTTTGTACATGGGCCCTATGGGCAAAATGCCAATACTGAAATGCTGGAGGAGACATTTCTCACTTTGAAGGAGAAGAAGGAGAAGGAGGAGGAGGAGAAGGAGGACAAGGAAGAGAATAAGAGAAGGAGGAGAAAGAAAGATACCCATGTAGAAATGCCAAGTGTCATTTTTGCAAAGCATTAAATTTAATTGCTGTCACTTAGAGAAGGAACAGTGAGCAAAGTGAGCACTTATTTTCATTGATGGTATTTCATCAATGGCTTGTACACTGAGCACTCACTATATGGAGGGCTTTGGATTTCCAGCACTCTGCAGAGTCTGAGAAATGGTTCTTGATTCTGGTACTTTAGTATTCATTATATGATATGCATAAAATATATATATTCAAGCGTGTCAAAATTGACTGTGTCTGGTAAATAGATTAATTACACTGCCAACAAACTATTGTAAGACTTCAATAAAACTGTATTTCAAATAATGGATGTTACAGTGCTAGTTCCCATAAAGTCTAATTCTAAAATTAAATATAATTTAAAATATAAAAAGGTACAAGAAGAGAGGACCTGGGTGGCTCAGTGGGTTAAGCCTCTGCCTTCAGCTCAGGTCATGATCTCAGGGTCCAGGGATCTAGCCCCACATTGGGCTCTCTGCTCAGCTTCCCCCTCTCTCTCTGCCTGCTTCTCTGCCTACTTGTGATCTCTCTCTCTCTGTCAAATAAATAAAAAAACCTTTAATAATAATAATAATAATAATAAAGGTACAAGAATATTTATGTACATATGTACATAGATTACTCTATATTATATGAACATATATTACTCTGAAACTTTGTAGTTTCTCAAAAATGGCCAATATTGCAGGAAAATACTAAATAAAGGAAGACAAATAAAGGAATTTGGATTTTAGTGCCATATATGACTCTGATTTCTGTGGAATAATAGTGATACATGTTTCTGAACGCTTTGGTAATTGAGCTGTCTTCTTCTGCTGGATGTGGCAGAAAGACAAAATTGCAGGCAGGCACTGACAGAAGAAACCCCTGAAGATAAACAGGTTTGTAATGGAAAAGGTTCCCCAACCTTAACTGTAGCCAGATATCTCAGTCTTGACAACCATTCACTTTGATTTCCAGCTAGGACCACTCCTGGGGACCTTAATCACAGATGCAGCAGCAACATGAGATACTAGCTGGAAGAAGATCTTCAAGAGGAAATAGTGGGCATTCCCTCTGCTATGAGAAAGATCCACACAGTATTTAAACCTTTCTCAGGCAAAGAGGCTGAAATAATCCTAATATTGGGTCCTCACCCAGATCCAAATTTTTAACAACCTGCACAAAAACCATTCTGAGCAACTTTGCCAGGTCACATCCCTTATCTTTGGAAGCCCCAACATGGTGCTCATCGTCAAAAAGCTGTGAGAATCCAACAGGAACCACTGAACTCCATTTCTTGAAGAAGACTGAAGCAAGTGGAGGTGCAGAGGAAAGCTCTGGGGCAGTGGAGGGCAGTGGGGGGAGGGAGGCGGGGGCACAGGGAGGGGAAGGATCAGGAAGACAGGTCTGACTTCTGAGTGGCTAGAGTGGTTTTGGAGAAAGTCGCAGCTTGGCTCACCAGTCAGGAGCTGTCCAACTTTTCAGCAGCTCTGGTCTCAGGGTTCAGGCGCTCTGGACTGAGGAGGCTGCTACCACTACTGCTGCTGCTTTTTCTGCGTCTAGAGCTGTTAACAGTCCCTGCTTTTGCTGCAGGCGGCCAAAGGAGGGAAGGGAAGAAGAAAGGGAGGAAGGAGGGACCGGCTGTTGGTGAAGCAGTGCACCGCGCGTCCTAGTCTTGGTGAACCGGGGAGCCCAGGAGTGTATCTCTGCCACAATCACTGTGGAGGGAGCCTTGTCACGTTCTGTGACCCCTCCCGCTGGCAAAGCCCCCTCTCGGTCTCCCGGAGCCTCTGGTGGCTTCAAGTGGGAAGCTGAGCCCAGCCTCTGTTTCGGCTTCAGAAGCGGCTGCGGCAGCAGCAGCAGCATCCGGGAGGCGCTCGGGCCAGCGCGGTGAAACCAGCTGGACAGCAGGGCTCGGAGGTGCGAGCCAGGATGGAGGCAGAGGGCAGCAGCGTGCCGGCCCGTGCGGGCAGCGACGAGGGCAGCGACGGCGCCGGAGGGGCCACACTCAAAGCCCCCAAGCACCTCTGGAGGCACGAGCAGCACCACCAGTACCCGCTCCGGCAGCCCCAGTTCCGCGTTCTGCACCCCCATCACCACCTGCCCCCGCCACCGCCGTCCTCACCCCAGCCCCAGCCTCAGTGTCCGCTGCAGCCGCCACCGCCACCCCCTCTGCCACCGCCACCGCCGCCTCCGGGGGCTGCTCGCGGCCGCTACGCCTCGAGCGGGGCCACCGGCCGGGTCCGACATCGCGGCTACTCGGACACCGAGCGCTACCTGTACTGCCGTGCCATGGACCGCACCTCCTACGCCGTGGAGACCGGCCACCGGCCCGGCCTAAAGAAATCCAGGATGTCCTGGCCCTCCTCCTTCCAGGGACTCAGGCGGTGAGTGAAGAGCGCCCCCTCCCCCATTCAGACAAGGGGTCACCTCCCCAGTTCTCAAATTCTCCTCATTGGTCTCTTTATCACTAGCAATCTAGGACCCAGGACTAAATTCTATTCTGGGAATTGGGGGAGGGAAAGCAGGGGCATGTTTGTTCTTGCTTGAGAGTGTTAGGATTCACCTGTGTGTAAGAGACCCTGAAAGTACAGTTTAATTGTGTGTGTGTGTGTGTGAAAGAGAATGAGAGATTTCCAGTAGTCTCTACCACCCACCATCCCCTCCCCACCCACTTCCATCCCACCTTGGCAAGTGGGACTAAACAGGCAAATTCAGTTTGCTCTGTTGCGGTAGGAGGAAGAGTGAAGGAAAGGGGTGGGGTTGTTGAGCCAGGGAGACTCCCAGTAATCATTCCACTCTCCCCAGAGTGAGGGGGGGTTGGTGGGGCAGATCTGATGGTGACTGGGAATGGGGGAGACAGCTTGGTTCCAGGATTGCAGCTCAAAGCCTGAGAACAACTCAGTTTCTCTTTGTCAGAAAGTAAATTGAACAGCTAAAGGGGAGAACAAACACGTGGGTGACTTGGAGAGTTTGGAGCAAAATGTTCAGCAGTCCTCAGGAGAGGGAAAAGGGAGGGATGGAAGGAGGGAGCAAAGACTCTGTGGGAGTTACACTGTGTTGGTATGTGATGTGTGCCCGCTATATGTGTATCCATCCAGTTGTCTTTGCAAAATCCCAGGAAGAAAGTACCTCGTTTAATTTAGCAGCAGGAAAGATGCAGAGATTTGATTATAGTGATTTCCCCTTAATGTAAAGTGCTCTGGAAGATAGGGCAAGGAAGCTGCATGTCACCCAGAGTTTTAACAGAAGCCAACTGCTCCTATTCTGAGGAAATGAGTAGTGTAAAGAACCAATTACAGCTACTCTGAGAACTGAGCTCAGATTCTTAACTCAGGCATGGAGGTGGAAGTTGGGCCCTTTCCCTGCAACCCCAAAACAGCTCTTTTCTTCCCTGTCCCAGGACCTCTAAGCAAGGACTGCCCTGCCCCACACAAAATGCACACAAATAAGATTCTATTATCTAACCTTAGATGTGGGCAGCCTTTGAAGGACTACACATCCAAGCCATGTATCTGCATGATGGGTATACTGTAAATCAGGTGGGCATCCAGAAACAGGAAAACTTGGGGCTGTTTGTTCAGTTGTGATTGACAGTTGTTTGTCTAACTGTAATTGATAGTAGGTTGGGTTTATCCAGAAATATTAATAGTGTTCAAATGTATGTCTTTCTGTCTGCCCCCTTTCCAGGCTCCATCTATCTCTGTGCCCTTTTCTCTTTTCCCCTCCCTCCCTCCTCTTCTCTCTTTATCTCTTTCTTTTTTATGAGCAAGTCTCTCTGTGTGTTGTGTACAAAAGGAAATCCAGCCAAGTGGAATATCTCAACCCTGATATGCCCACATACTTCTCATACCCTTTGCCTTCCTCACACCCTTAATTACTGGACATTTTTTGTGGTGATGTTCTTATACCTGTTAGATAAAAAGAATGAGAATTGTGGTTTAAATAGTCACTATTCAGATCAATTTAAATTTTGAAGATTGATGTGATTTCAAACATTCATAAATGAATATGCAAGTTTCATTTTTATACCTCAGACTGCTAAAGCCCGCATGCTGTGTTAAATTTTGTTTGAAAAAGTAAATGTCCTCCACTTGGGTAGAGCACTGTGTATGTGGTCCCCCTATGGAGGAATAAAGGCAAGCATGGCACTTTGTATGTTTGAGCTATAAACATTTGTGAGACTGAGATTTTAACAAATATTAAATAAGAACAAGAGTTCTAGATTAATCTGTGGGTTGTTGACTTTGTAGAGTCTCTTAATTAAATTCATTTTTTAATAAAACAGAATATGTCTGAGAGGGTGAAGAGGGAAAATAAGCTAATTGGAGTAGAGGTATTGCATCATTGATTTAAATTTATTTTTTGCTGTGCTCGCTACACTAATTAATTGTTCCATTTGTAATTTGTTAATTGAATGATTCACAGAAAACTAAAGATGTATAATACTTACACATAGCTTCCACTGTAGCTCATCTGATAAATCATTCTTATTCTATTTAAGAATTATTGGACTTAAAATTCTTTACATCACTCATGTATTTCCCAAACACTCATTCATTACATGTCAAGCTTTCCCTTGATAGAATTGCTTTTGTAAATAAATGTACTTTGCAAAAAGGGCATGGATATTGCTTTCATTCTTTTAGGAGAATGGTTAGGAATGCTTTAAAATTATCAAAAAATCACATTTATTAACTTATTTGAACCCATTAACAAAACTGAAATGAAATTATATTGTCTTCACTTTATAGATAAGAACATCGAGCCCTAGAAGTTATGAGTAACTTGTTCAGTAGCACAGTGACTATGAGTGCCAGAGCTAAGACTGAAACCCTGGTCTCCTGCCTCAGTGAAGACAGTAGGTGCTCCCAAAATAAATGTGCGCAGAACCTGGGCATGTTGACAGCATCAAGAAATATATAAAACCAAACATGAATGTTATATTGATTGATACCATAGGACCTAAAGTCCAAATAAACAATGAGATATGGTTTAAGTCCTTTATTTTTTTTTTTTTTTTTTTTTTTTTTTTTTTAAAGATTTTATTTATTTATTTGACAGAGAGAGATCACAGTAGACAGAGGCAGGCAGAGAGAGAGAGAGAGAGAGAGGGAAGCAGGCTCCCTGCTGAGCAGAGAGCCCGACGCGGGACTCGATCCCAGGACCCTGAGATCATGACCTGAGCCGAAGGCAGTGGCTTAACCCACTGAGCCACCCAGGCGCCCGGTTTAAGTCCTTTAAAGAAAAAAAAAGACAGCATAGGCTCTGGAAGCAATGAGAAATTTTAACTTTATTTTTAATTTTTGAAATCCTAGCTATTACACTGGTGTTAATTATCACAGTAGAGGCAAACAAATCAGTGTATTTGTTGAGTTTGTACATTGCATATAAAACAATAATAAATATGAAACAATGTTCAGAGAGTTAAAGTTAATCAGAGCACTTCATGTTGTTTTCAATGATCTTTTATTTTATTTTATTTTATTTTTAAAGATTTTATTTATTTATTTACAGACAGAGATCACAAGTAGGCAGAGAGGCAGGCGGGGGTGGGGGGGAAGCAGACTCCCCACTGAGCAGAGAGCCTGATATGGGGCTCAATCCCAGGACCCTGAGATCATGACCTGAGCCAAAGGCAGAGGCTTTAACCCACTGAGCCACCCAGGTGCCCCTTCAATGATCTTTTAAAAGGGAACAGAAGTGTGAGACATGGGCAAAATGTGTATGTGTGTGTGTTCCTGTGTGCACGTGCTATCATTCAAATGGAGGACTTAAGTTGTCTGTCAAGTTAATGTTTCTGAAAAATCCTCATGGATGGATGGATGAATGATTCTTTATGGACTACCAAGAAAAATATGTCCTTTAAAAGGCTATATTTTGCATGTGTCCTAGCATTTCCAGATATTATTTCTTGACTGAAATTTTCAAAACTACAGTTTGTAAAGCAATGGGAAAGAGGTTTGCTTGGTTTAATGAAGAAATCTGTAAAATAGGAAGGGGACAATTCCCACACATTTTGTGGTCAAGTCTTTTGATTCTATGAAGATGTAAGTATTTGAAATAAATTTTGTGTTAAGTTATATCTAAGAAGGTAGATTCATTTTTTAATCTTAAAATAAAAGTAATTTGAAATAATAAAATTACAAGGAATGAGTATGTTACTAAGAAAACTAATTGGATATTAATGTCAAATTAATCACTTTAACTAATAGTTCTTCAAAATGTAGCAATTGTTCGGGGTGCCTGGGTGGCTCAGTGGGTTGGGCCTCTGCCTTGGGCTCAGGTCATGATCTCAGGGTTCTGGGATCGAGCCCTGCATCGGACTCTCTGCTCAGCAGGGAGCCTGCTTCCATCCCGCTCCCCGCCTGCCTACTTGTGATCTCTCTCTCTGTGAAATAAATAAATAAAATCTTTAAAAAAAATAAAATTAGATTTAAAAATGTACTAATTGTTCAATTGAACTGATAAAGGATTTAATTATTTATTTGACTTCTTTTTACATAACAAAATATTTTCCTTGTCAGTAATGTGCATTTCTAAATCTGCAGGAACTATATATTCCTTTTTTTAAAAGATTTTATTTATTTGATAGAGAGCACAATCAGGAGGAGGGGTAGAAGGAGAGGGAGAAGCCCAATGCAGGGCTCGATCCCAGGATCCCAGCATCAAGACCTGGATGATCACTGACTGTGGATGCTTTACCAACTTAGCCACCCAGGCACCCAGAGCTATATATTCTCAATACAAATTAAGAGTCTACATCATTAATCATCGGGGAAATGCAAATAAAAACCACAGTGAGATCTTACCTCATACCTGTCAGATTAGCTATTATAAAAAAAGAGAAGAAATAACAAGTGTTAGAGAGGATATGGAAAAAAGGGAACCCTTGCACAATGGTGGGAATGTTAACTGGTGCAGCCACTATGGAAAACAGTATGGAGGTTACTCAATACATTAAAAATAGAATTATCATATGATCAGCAATTCTACTTCTGGGTAATTGTCCAAAGAAAATGAAAACAATAATTCAAAAAGATAAATGGATCCCAGTGTTCATTGCAGCATTATTTATAATAGCTAAGATATGGAAACAACCTGAATGTCCGTTGACAGATGAATGGATAGGAAAATTGTGATGTATATAATATGATGGAATACTATTCAGCCATAAAAAAGAATGAAATCTTGCTGCTTGTGACATCATAGAACTTGATGACATTATGATAAATGAGAAAAGTCAGAGAAAGATATATATAATAGTATCTCTCTTATATTTGGAATCTGAAACAAAACTAATAACAAAACTAAGCTCACAGATGCAAAAAACAAGTGGTGGTTGTCAGAGATGCAGTTGGGATGAGAGAAATGGGTGACCTGTTGT